TTTTAATGAACAATGAGCGACGGCTAAAAATTTAAGCATGGTCAACGTACACATAAATTGAAAAAATATATTCTATATTTTAATTTTATAATGGATACATGAAACTCATAATATCAAAAAAAACATCATTGCGTTTGTCGAAGTCATATGTTCTTTTAAATAAAAATTCTGCTATATAATAAAATGATAATCTCGTGTGCCATAACGAAGAATTTTTGATCTCATATCTCTCCACAATCTTTCTATGTTTTGTGTATGAACCCCGCTTTTTGGATCAACAAAATTATTTGAATGGTTCATTGTATAATGTGTATAATTTGCATTATTTCGTAAACTATCATAAGCACGCCACTTATCTGTATGTATAATGGAGCCAGGTTTAATATATTTCTCGATAATTGGTAACAGAGTATCGGCACATCGGTTCCGAACAGGCAAAATAAAAACTTTGTTAGTGTCGCGTTCGATATCACCGAAAACCTATTGTCCTCTAATAATGCGTCCAGTGTTATATTTTCTTTTACTTACTTTAGCTTCATCTAGCTCTACAATTTTACCTCTTCCACCGATTGACTTTTGTCTATTTTCGACCCATTCTTGAAGTATCTAAAGAGAATTTTGTAAATAAACACAATTAATTACTTCGTATTAAATGTAAATTAGTTACGTGAACACTTTATAACTTACTTCCCGACAAAAATTTGTCCATTCAACAATAGTATGGTCATTCATTGATCCAAAAATCTATGTCGTGGTGGTTGCATCATTAGGAAATATCCGATAAAACGGCATATTTTGCTCAGTTTCATATGCGTACGTTCAAACCACATTCCATGAAATATGCTAATTTTAAAGTTACATAATAATCTTTGCCGCTTCCGACCTTTAACAACTTTGTAATATTTGTTTGTACAATGTAAAACACAATTTTCAGAAACAGCATCTATTTTTAATAATTTTTTACACCTAGGACACACTATATCACTATGAACGACTTTCTTCGTACACAAAAAGTTATATAAAGTCTCGAAATCGTAAGTTATATGAATAAATTCGTGTAAATGCATGTTTCAAGTTTGCAAAACTATCTTGATGTTAGAACGACTGACTAGCTACACGACAAGATAGCAACTACGAGTAGTAGCCGTAAGCTAAACATACTAAGTATGTGTTACATACATAACAACAGAAATCAAAACAAAGACATAGATTTCGGAATACAATGAATGTATTTGTATATATCACGAATTTAGCAAATGTTACCTTATCGAATACCTATATGATATTACGATGATGATACGTGATATTAACATTCTATTCATGAAACTTCTTTTATTAATAATTTTTTAATAAATAATGAGAGACGGCTAAAACTTTTTGATTATAAATGAGGAATGTTAGTTCTATAATATATGTCAACATCAAGACCGTTGGAGGGTGGTCCCCTATTTGGCATTTTTACCAAAAAATTTTTTTTAATTTTTGCTATCGGGGAATAAATCATCTCCAATCACGTCCAATAACGAACTAATTACCTTTTCCATCAAGCTCTTTACATAGTTTCTTTTCTGCTCCGGCTTGAAGGATCACAAATTTTTATGTGAACAATTGGAGGGATGAATTTGATCGATCACAAAAAAACACCGGATCCGCTCAGATCGAGTGCGAGAGGACTCAGGGAAGAGATAGAGAGAGGTAGATGAGAGATTAGAGGAATCAAGCGACACGGTAGTGTCGCGAAGCCAAGTGCAAGCGCAAGCAACGGGCTCGCGGCCGACCGTGTATATTTACGCGACGACTTTAGTTGAACACAG